TCTTTTCCATTTCGGTTTATCACAGGACACTGAATATATAACAGTCCCCTTTGCTCTGTAGTAGGATCGCTTTGTTTATCCAAACTCCCAGGCCTTCCTTCTCCCACCCCACCTCCCCCTCAGCAACCACAAGTCTGCTGTCTTTGTCTGTGAGTCCATTTCTGCTTTGAAAATATGTTCATTGTGCTGTATTTTAGATTCCACATATAAGTGATATCATATGGTATTTGTCTCTTTCTTATTTCACTTTGTATGATAATCTCTACGGCCATCCACATTGCTGCAAATGGTATTATTATGTTCTTTATGGCTGAGTAATATTCCACTGTATGTATACCACATCTTCCTTACCCATTCATCTGTCAATGGACATTTAGATTGTTTCCATGTCTTGGCTATTGTAAATAGTGCTGTTATGAACATAGGGGTGCATGTATCTTTTCAAATTACAGTTTTGTCTGGGTATGAAAGCAACATTTCCTGTTCAGTTTCAGTTGATGACTTGATCAGTTTCCCCAGGAAAACAGCCTTATCTCATGTGCTGCTCACATGTCTCCAATGGTATTGTCTTGGTGAGTGTGATAAAGCCCTGAGAGGATCACTACCCTCACCCCCAGGCCCACCACCCATGCCTGGCACATCTTACATTGTGCTCAAAGAGTCCTGAAATTAGAGCTGGGTTTGTGGGCTAGAGTTTCTAGTGAGGGCTAATCCAGCTGATGTGAAGCTTTGATCAACAAGTCACTCAGATAAGATGTAAGAAACAGCTCAAATCCAATTTTGTGCAGACTCCTTCTGGGAGCTAGAAGGGATGGGGAAGAGAGAGACACTGAAGATTTTCCCATCCATGACCTCAGGTGCTATACTTCACTCAGCTGGCGATTACTTACACCTACTGTGTTGCAGGCCTGGGAGGAGCCACAGCTTAGCTCCCTGTGTTTGAGCAGGAGTAAGAGCTGAAATCCAGGTGCCCTGGCTCTGCTAGCTTTGCTATGACCTGGGCGGAAGTGGGCACCCTTTGGGCAAATTCCTCTACTTGGCAGGAGCACTCATTTTCTGATTCACAAAAAGAGAATTATGTGCTAGCAGAGTCAGGGCATAACATAGAAGGACCAAAACTTATGAAGTTCCTTCTTGCTTGAAGCTTACATCTAGTGAGGGAAATGAAAAATGATACCTTTTCTAAAGAAAAATCAAGCAAAAGGAGATGATGGAGGCACGTTCTGATATTTTAGATCAGCTAGTGAGGAAGCTCTCTCTAAAGAACATTTGATTTTTTTCCCTAAGAGATGGGAGGGAGAGAACCATGTGCAAAGGTTTAGAGGAAAAGAAGCAACGGCCCAGCAATTTTGCAAAGGCCCTGAGGCCAAAAAGGCCTCAACTTGGTGCATTTGAGGAATACAGTGATAAGACCAGTGTAACTACAAGGGAAAGAGAGAGGGCAAAACCTAAAAGTCAGGCCAAATGACAGAGGGCCTCATGGGTTTCTAGCACTGTGCTGGGTGCTGTAGAGGTGCTTACGAGTTGCAACATTGTGTTTCCTTCTAGGAAATTCCACTTTTGTCAAACAGCGAGAATGGAAATCCCATTACAGAAACACTGAACATCAGCTGCAGTGTAAAAACCATAGGGCTATTCAGAGCAGTATTGTTCACCATTTCCCACACTTAGATGAATAAATAAGCAAAATATGTGTATACATACAAAAAATATTATTCAAACTAAAAAGAAGGGTGAAATTCTGACACATGCAACAGCGTGGATAAATCTTGAAAACATTATGATAAGCGAAATAAGCCTGACACAAAAGGTCAAATATGGTATAATTGCACATATATGGAGTACCTAGAACAGGCAACTTCATAAAGACAGAAAGTGGAGTGGTGGGTGGTTGAGGGGAGCAGGGTGAAGGGTAGAAATTGGGGAGTTAGTGTTCAGTGGATACAGAGCTTCAGGTTGGGAAGATGAAAATGTTCTAGAAATGGATGGAAGTGATGGCTGCAAAACAACATGAATGTACTTAATGCCACTGAATGGTTAAAGTGGTAAATTTTATATTACGTATATTTTTACCACAATAAACAATATTTTTTAAAAAGTCATAGGGCAATAAATATTAAAAATCACCCGGTAGCTTAAATATATATATATAAATACTATTAAAATATAACCTTCCCTTAAAAAATTCCTTGAAGGATTGGTAAACCTTGCCTGTGAGAATGCCTGGGTTTGGTGCCTTTCCCCTTCTTTGGAAGAAGGGCTGGGGATGGTTTTTTATTAGTTTAGTTTAGTTTTTTCTTTTTAATATTTATTGTGATATTCAAGATTCCTCTTTTTTCTTGAGTTGTGTTTGGTAATGTATGTCTTCTGAGAAAAATATTGTCATCTAAGTTTTCATATTTATTTGGCATAAATGCAATTTGTAACATTTTCTTACTATTTTACAATTACAATTGTGATCATTTTCATTTGGGAAAAAACCCACAAAGTCACAGGGCTAGGATCTAGGGAAGGAAGAGTGGGTATTCCAGACAGAAGGAACAGCAAGTGCAAAAGCCAAGCGGCAGGAATGTGCCTGATGCACTCTGAGAACAGCAAGAAGGTCCACGGGCTGAGGCACAGGAAGAGCAGAGGGTGAGAGCTGTTCATTTGGCCTTACAGGACCTTGTAGCTCCTTCCAGAAATCCAGTGGAAGATGGGAAGCCATTAGAGGGATTTGAGCAGTGTTGATCTATCTACCTGATCTTTGTTAAATCAGGATCATTCTGGTTGCAGCTTTCTCTAATCTGAATCTCACTCACAAACAAGAATAAGAAAAGCACTTACTTCAGAGAGTAACTGTGAGCAGTAAAGGTGGTAAGGTTCGCTGAGGGTTTAACATGGTGACTGGCATAGAGTAAGCATCTCAGTATAAGGTAAGCACTGCTGTGACAAGACCAAAGACAGCATCCCCCTGAGGAGCCGTTTTGGAGGACTTCATGGAGGAGGTGACTGTTCAACTAGACATAGAAGGAGGGACAAGGTTTCCACCCATATAGATGGAGAAGAGGAGCAGGCTTTCTGAGTGGAATGAACTGTGTGGTCCACATCACATGAAGGAAAACAGCCAGCAGCCAGCAGGGCAGGACAGAGAGGAGAGAATGTTTGATGAGCTCTAGCAGTTCAGAGGAGAAGGCAATGGCACCCCACTCCAGTATACTTGCCTGGAAAATCCCATAGACAGAGGAGCCTGGTAGGCTGCAGTCCATGTAGTCGCTAAGAGTTGGACACGACCGAGCGACTTCACTTTCACTTTCATGCATTGGAGAAGGAAATGGCAACCCACTTCAGTTTTCTTGCCTGGAGAATCCCAGGGACCGGGGAGCCTGGTGGGCTGCCGTCTATGGGTTCGCACAGAGTCGGACACGACTGAAGTGACTTAGCAGCAGCAGCAGCAACAGCAGCAGCAGCAGTTCAGAGAGGCATGTGGGCTCTAGAGCCTAGGTGATGGGAGTTTTGAAGGTTTCCTAGCAAGTGTCAGGATCTGAACTATGATCGCAGAAAACTGAATCCCCATCGCCCAGCCTGGAGTTGGAAGAACTGCGAGGCAGGAATCTTCAGGACGCCGGTCCAAGGCAGGGGCGGTGGAAGGGGCGTTGCTAGCAACTAACTAGGCACAAGGGTCTGCGACTGGGCTGGAGACCCAAAGGATCAAGAGAACGCACGTACGTGGGGGGGGGGGGGGGGGGAGGAAGGCAACCAAGAGGGCGCGTCGACCCTGGGCATCAGAGAGGAAGCAATTTATTAATAAACGAAGAGCACTGTAGGAGCCACAGGCATCACCGTCGGAGTCCCGCTCCTCGGCCGGCCGGCTGCAGCGCCGAGGCGGCCCGACTTCCTCAGAACCCTCACCACAGCTATGGGCACATTCGCTCATCTAATGAAATTACGTGTTTAATGTTTTAGCCCCCAGACGTCAGGGCTAGAGAATCTGTTTTCATTTCATTCCCAAGCCTGGCACAGCTTGCCAAGGAGCTGAACAGGAGGTAGGAACCCACAAGAGGTTTGGAGAAAGGGGTCGCTCGGTGAGCTGACAGCCGAGTGCGACTGGAGGGCATTCCAAGTCCAAGGAGGCTGATCTCGCGCGAGGAGAGGTCCTGCAGAGACGCTGCGATGACCTCTCCGCCGGTGTGCAGGGGCCACAGACAGGTGGCGGGGTGGGTGAGGCTGCACTCCCCAGTCTACAGACGGCGTTCACACCTACCGCCGGGAACTCGGGGGGAAGAAAACCAGGGTGCACAGAACCGTGCGCGGGCAGCGCAGCGGCGGCCCCATTTCCCGCCTGGGAATACCAAGGCCCGGTGGCAAAAGAAGTCCGGAGGTCCTCCGGGCCGAGCCTCGCGGTGGGACGCCACAGCCCTCCTCCCAGGAGTGGAGTGTCCGGACTCCAGTACTATTTGCATATCCCCCGGGGAGCCCGAAAACTCTTGGCTGGAGTCCGGAGCCGAGGTGGCCGGGATGGACTTTGGGGGTCCCCTGGAGCGCGTCCCACAGCGCGCACCAGTTAGCGCCCAACTCGCCAACTCCGGGACTTTTGCAAAGCTCCCGCGGGCGGGGGAGCAGCCGAGGAGCGGGCCGCACCATCGCGGTCCGAGAGGGGGGAGCGGGCCGCCCTGGGCCCGTCGCACCCGGGCGGAGCGGAAAGAGCATCGAGAAGCCGCGGCCCGGGGCTCACGGCTTTCGGCAGCAGACACTGAAGAGGCCGAGGCGGAACACGCAGCTCGGCGGGGCTCGCGGGCGGCGGCGTCGGCGGAGTACTCCCACCCCGCGGCGGCGGCGCTGTGGCGGAGCCCGGCTCCCCGGCCGGCGAGCGGCGGAAGTGCCGCGGAGTTGGAGCGGGGCCGGCGCCGCGGCCGCTTCTCTTCGCGGAGCTGCTGCCGCCGCCGGGCGGACGGGCGGACGCGCGGAACTGGGGGCGGCGCGGCGGGGCCGGCGGGGCGCGGCGGGGCTGACCGGCCCCGATGAGGCGGAAGGAGAAGCGGCTTCTGCAGGCGGTGGCGCTGGTCCTGGCGGCCCTGGTCCTTCTGCCCAACGTGGGGCTCTGGGCGCTGTACCGTGAGCGGCAGCCCGACGGCACCCCGGGAGGATCCGGAGCAGCGGCGGCCGCGGCCGCCGGACAGGTGAGTCCCCAGTTGCCATGGAGTTGGGAACACGCTCTCCCGGATTTCTCTTCTAGCCTTCGGTTGGTTCCTTCCTTCGCAGTCCGCTGTCTGTCTTCTCAGAGTCAGCGCCAGAGACGCCTCTGTTCTTCCCATTGTTTTAGGTGGGAAAATTGAGGCTCAGAGAAGGGCAGGGATTGTGCCCGCTATTCAGAAACCGAACCAGAGCTACAAACCAGGGCTTCTGATGCCCATAGGTTACCATCCTCTTTCCTGTTCCATCCTCTGTTGTGTTTCTCACCTCTTCCAGCATCTCTCCCTTTTGGAAGATCCTGTCTGCATCCCCGTATCCCAGGATGGCACCTTCTTCTGGAGGTGCCGGTCCTTCTATTTGGTGTCCAGGTCTTTTCTACTCCCCGCCCCCCACCTGCTGATCCCAGTGTTTCCTACTCAGGTTGGCCCCTTTCTTTTTTACTCATTTGCCCAAAGAGACCTCTGGACCTCCTTCCTGTCCACAGTATTCACCCTCCCAGCCTTCTTTCTTTCCCAGATCCGGTGGATTCCTTGGAAGATGCAAAGATCATGCTCTCCTTGGAGCTTTAAGCCCTGGAGAATAGGGATGTTTGAGCTCCTGCTCTTTGAGGGACCAGGTGCCTTTGACTTTCTGGGAGTCCAGAAGTGGGAGCTGTGGTGGGAAGACCCCCCACCCAAATTCCTCAGAGGCTATTTGTGCCCAGGGCCCTGAGCATGGAACATCAGATGCTTTCTGTCCCTTCTCAGAGTACTACCTGTGACGCCTTCTGAACTTGTCCAGGCTGATTAGGTGTGGTGTTTTTTTGTAGCCAGGACTGGGATTTTAATTATTTTTGCCTCCTCTGAACTCAGTTATGTACGTGTGTGTGTGTGTGTGTGTGTGAGAGAGAGAGAGAGAGAGAGAGAGATGAGTACATATAGACTGATAGCAAAAACTCTGTCACATCACTCCTACTCTCCCAGCTCCTGGCTCAGTAGGTGCCAGTCAGGATATATATGCCATGAACTGTTTCACACAGTGGGACATTTAAGTTTTTCTTGTGGGATTTGTTTTGTCTCATGGCAGGTAGATAATTTTGCATCAGGGTTGAACTTGACTGATGGTCGGCAGACAGGGGAAGAGACTGACTTTGGATGGTTTGCCCTTATCTTCCCAGGCTCAGGCTGCTTGCTGTCTTATGTACAGAGGGCTCTTTATGACAGGGCTGACCAATCTGAGGACAGCCTGTCGTTTTGGTAATTGTTGCAAACCATCCTGGAGGACCTGCTTACTCCTTCTGGGAGATCTTCCTGTTTGAAAGCCAAAGCCCCAACTCCCTTCCTAAACCCCCAGTTCAAACCCTGACAACTGACTTAGACCCATCTCTCTTAAATTCTGTATCCATATGGGTTTTTCCTGCATGAAATCTGTTCCCACCCTGGAGCAGCATCAGGGGCAGGAGGTCAGGGTTCTGTCCTCAGCTTTACTATAAACTTGTTGTGTGTATCCTTGATCACCTCCCATCTCCCTCCCTGAGCTCCCCTTTGGAGAAAGCTCCATCTGTGATATGTGGTCTCTGGTCCAGTTCTCTGTGATACCATCAGTGAGTCAGTGTGGAGTACAACAACCACTTCTGTTTCCCTTTCCTGAGGCAGGAGCCCTTTGTAGCATCCCTAGCTGTGAGGGCTCCATCCTGGACACAGCCCCAGATCAAGGGGGCATTGTCCTGCCCAAGTGCAAACTCTCCTTTGGAATAGCTGTAACCAGTTCTAAAATAGCTCCTGACATTCTGCCTCTGCCCGGAGAAAGCCCTCGTATTTCATCTGCTGTGGATGCCAGAGACGTCCTGATTTTCATTTTCTATAGACCCAGATGTGTAGAGAGAAGGTCAAGGTTAACTGCCGGTTTGGCCTGAGCTTTCAAAGTAAATTACTCTCTTGCACAAGAGGGGATTGATGGAGTAAGGCAGCCTTTGGGGCAGAGAGAGGGGAGCAACAGCTGGGCGCTGCTTGGAGCCCGTAACTGAAATGGACAGAAAGGCTTATCTAGGAAGGTCTAGTTCTTGTTCGTTTCTTTTGCTTTAGAATATCATGAAGGGGGAGAGGAGCCAGAAGTGGAAAAGGGATTTGGTGGTGATGATAGGGGATTGCAACTGATGATCTTTGCTTTAGAGAAAATATCGTGTCTCCTGGGAGCAGCAGAATGGAGCTGTTTCCCAAATGACCAGCTCTTCTAGGTGCTATAGGATTCTGCATTCGTCTGCTGCCTTTCAGGAGCACTCTGCCAAGTTTCCACACAGCCCCTTTTGTGTTTCACTCTCCTGCAGATGCAGAGCGCTCGGCCTGGCCCCCAGCCCCTCTGAAAGTCAGCTGGCCTCGAGAGAGGAGGCTGACTTCTCAGAGCACTGGGGTTCCGTCTCACGTCCCAGAGGGCTGGAACCTGCACAGACCACGTCAGGCTGCTATCTGGAGAATCTGGCATCTGGAGCACACACAGCTTCTTTCGACAGAGCTGACCAGTTCTGAGCTCAGCTTGTCACTCTTATAATTGCTGAGAATCATCCCAGAGCACCTCACTGATCTTTCGAGTAGAAATAACTACAGAGGCTCTGGAGGGAAGTCAGACAACGGACTTTACCCGAATGAAAACTGTATTCCTTGTGGGTTTGGGGGAAGTTTCTCTGATAGTAACATACCCACTATTTTAGTCGTTTAACTCTTTGATTTCTCCACTGGATTAAAGAATACAGGATTTTGAACTCAGAGGGTTTATCATCTGCTAGAATGTTAAGTCTGCGTAATTCATACTTGATTATGCTGGCTGTACCACTGGAGCTGGGTAGGACAGCTAATTTGTAAAGGACACAAAATGCTTCAAGGATTTGAGCATTCCTATGGTTGAACAGCTGGCTTCTTGGAAAGTTGCAAAACCAAACAAGAAAAGCAAGTCTTGAAGCCATCTTCATTTTAATTTGAGGGGTGCCTCTCCTTCCTAGTCCCAATCTGTGTAACATCTTGGTGTGATTGTCTGGTCTGTTTCACATTCCAGGCTTGGGAGCTGGCTATTAAAAACCCATGTTAAAGAAATACGATGCAGTCTCTCCCAAGTTCTGAGCCTTAATCGCTTATGAAAATGACTTCATTGGATAATAGCAGCTTGCAGTAGAACTTGGGATAATGGAATACCAATGGGATAAGAAGGTGGGATAATGGAATACCAATGACTTTAATTTTCAAATGTCAAGAGTTTTTCCTTATTGTGTCAGAGCTGAACTTTATTCTTAGAACATCCAGAAATCAAAACTTCCCTCCTCCTTCCACCCCGTTTTTTTGGCTTTCTGGTGGCAGACCCTTACCCATTAGAAAGTGAAGGACCCTAGTAAGGTCACCAGGGAATGATTTATCTTCCACAGAGGGGCTGGGATCCTTTAGATTGCTAATCCCTTCTCTGTCTGTTTGCCCAGCTGAAATCTGATGCCGCTGGGGAAGGGTTGTTGATTTACCTGAGCAAATCTGACTTCCTGCATTCCTTTATCATCCTAGGCTTGCAGGTTCCCTAGGAGCCCAACGGAGGAAGGTCTGGGAACAGAGGCCTGGGTTTTACTTCACTTTCTTGCCCCAAACTCACTGTGTGATCTCAGGAAAGTGGTTTAACCTCTCTGGGCCTTAGATTCTCCATCTGTGAAGTGAGGGCTTAGGTTCAGAAGGGGGAAGGTAAATGTGTGTCAGAAGAGCATTTCCCCTTCCCTGACCGGGGCAGACATTGCTAATCAGTCTCTTTTCCTCAAAGCCCAGACTTCGCCTTAACTGTTTCTAAATGCTGCAACTTAAGTGGAGTTAATGGCATGTTGAATCTCATCTGCAATGGAGAGGATAGATACTTTGTTAGGTCTTTCCCAACTCCAACATCCTGGGATTCTGTGAGTTTGTTTGTAAGCTTGTATTGGAAAGACCTGGTTAGTAGAAGCATGTTTAAATAGGCCACTGTATCTAACTTGTGATGAGACCACTGCTTTAGGGATATGTTCATACTCTAATGTCTTCTCTCAGACTGTGTTCAACCTTTAATCTGTTGGCTCCAGTGACACGATAACAACTAATGAAATCAGGAATGAAAAAGCAGAGGCTGATTTAAAGGATAACCATCTTGCTTGCTACCTTGTCCACAGTCAGCTCTTAGACAGAGATGGCATCAGGATCTCATCACTGAAAAAATGCCCTGAGGCAAATTTGGCAGCCAGTAGTATGTCCCATGGCAGCTGAATGCTCATGAGGGTGTTTGCAGTGGGCTCTGAATTTTGCATATATCTGTATGCCATATATGGGGCTTCCCAGGTGGAGCAGTGGTACAGAATCTGCCTGCCAATGTGGGAGACGCGGAAGACTCAGATTTGATCCCTGGGTCAGAAAGATCCCCTGGAGGAGGAAATGGCAACCCACTCCAGTATTCTTGCCTGGAAAATTCCACAGATGGAAGAGCCTGGCAGGCTACAGTCCATGGAGTTGCAATGAGTCGGACACGACTGAGCACACACACACACAGGCTATATACGTGTCAGAGTCAGCTAGGGAAGAGCCGATGCCCCAGGAGTCCTTCCTGCTTCACAGAGAACCTCTGTCTTCATGCCCAGGGAAAGAGGCAGCCTATACGTCCCTGAGTTGCTGTGGCTAAGGAGTGCTTCATGACTTCCCCTCCCAGAAATGTCTTAAGAGTAGAAACCACATCCGCTTCTGCACATAGCTAAAGCCTTGGCACTTGGAAAACAGTCAGAACGCGTTTGCTAAATGATCTCTGCATGTCAGAGCAGGAAGGGTGCTACAGAAGTTATCTAGTCCAAGCCCCGCCTATTGTAGATATGGAAACTGAGGCCTGGGAGAGGGGCTGTCAGTTGCGAGAGGGAGGGATGCAGACAGAACCCAGTTCTTCTCTGAGTTCTTCTCTAGTTCACTACGCTTATTTTTCCCCTTGACAAGGAAAAATTTTTTTCTTAATACTTGATCCTTCTCTA